AGGAGGAGGAGGAAGAAAAGACTTAGTCCCAGTTTCCAGTCATTCATATCTATCACCAGTTGACATCACAGTATAGCATAATTATGTAAAATCACCATTATGGATTACAATTGTGAAACACATTTCTCTTTGGCTGAGGCAAACCTAAATCAGGATAAATGTGTTACTTGCAAAGTATTTCCCTTTCTAACTTGTGTTTTATGATGAGCCTTTACTGTACTAACAAGGACTTAACAAAACTGTAGGGCAGTTTAGTTGATTTAAAAATGGAGAGAAGAAAATCTTTTAGGTTTTGTTTCCTACTAAGAAAGCAGAGTTTGTTGTGTTCTTCATGGTTGTATACTCTCTTTTTTAATGACACATGTAGGTCTTGAACTGAAAAACAGATTTGTTTTATTGCACTGCGTTATTATTTTTAATTAATTTGAAAAATAGTAGAGATGGAATCTTCAAAATACACACATGGTTGTTTTCCCACAGGTCCTGTGGAACGTGTCCAGTTGGTTGCTCCCTTTGTGGCCATCAGAAATAAGGAGGTCAACCTCACTGCTGTGGTTTGGCCTAGTCAATCGGGTACCCTCACGTACTTCTGGTGGTTTGGTAATAATACAAAGGTTAGATGTTTAATATCTCTTCTCTTTTCTACTCTACCTTATGATGTGGTCATCTTGACAGTCTTTAAAAGAGTTACTCTTTGAATTGCATTACTCTTTTCTATTCTATGATGTTGTCATCTTGACAATCTTTGAAAGAGTTAATCTTTGAATTGCATGACTTTTGTTTTTTAAACACACACACACACACACACACACACACACACACACACACACACACACACACACACACAGAGCTTATGCCCCCTGTCTTTTCTTCTCACTCCCCTTTTTATCCCAACTCTTATTTATTGCAGGAGTCCCTACAATGTACAATGTATTATGTTTAAAACTATACTTATTACTAAAATTGAAAATTATATATCTCTCTATACGATGGATAATACTGGGCTTTCTGCTTAACATTTAAAAACTACTGGCAACCAAGTTAACAGTGTTTCCAGGAGGAGTGTCATGAACTCCTTAGAATTTTTGAACCTGAAGTTATTTTGAAGGTGCTAGGGACTAAATAGCTTCTAGCATCTGGCAATTCAAGCTAAGATCACAAAGAGCTCTTTTCTTGTCTGCCCATGCTGCTTGTTGTGGAAACATGCCAGAAAAATACAAGCAAAACTGTTTCTCAAGATTCATTTGATGACCACTTACCCATAGGATATGTAGGAATTTAGAGAAGATTTTTCCCAGCCCTGGAACCTTCTCCTCCTGTATTCTGTACTAAGCCATGTCTCTTCCCTAGCTTTAATAGTTGTATTATATTCAGGAGCTCAAAGAGCCATTATAATAACTATGAGAAGAAGGAGCCTTTCTAGCCCCATCTTCTCCATGGTGACTCCCCATGTATGGAGAGCGGCATTCTGAAGATTATATGTGGGGTGGGGGGGGGAATCAGCATTTTTGATCACATAGACTTTGCTCTCCACATGTGGGTGAAAACCTTTGGGAGGGGTCTCCATCACACTTGTCAGAATCAGCTAAAAAATTACAAATGATCCTTACAGTGGGCATGAAGGGGACATAGTAAAAATCTCCATTCATTTGATCTGTGAGATTCTTGGCATATCTCCTGCAGTATATCATGGCATTATTATAGACATTCAGTCAGTACTTTATGCAATAATCTAAGGAAGACACTTGAAGAGTTTGAGATTTGTTTGAAAGCAAAATAAATATTTCTGGAGTATAATAGTTTCACACATACCAAGTTTCTGCTTTTATACAATTGAAAATAAATTAGAGTAACTATTTGCAGTTTTGTGCCTGCAATTTAATTCTTAGCCATGCCTCTAATCCTTAGGCACAGGCACAGACTCAGTCTATTAGGCCTAATCAAATTGCTAGTCCCAACTAGAAATGGGCTTCCCAGCCCCAACTTCTCAAGTGGGCACCCACTCAGAGGAGGCAGTGCCCTGGCTTCCCTGCTGTGCCTCCTCCAAGTGCTTCCTCTGAGTGGGCACCTGCCTGAGGAGGTGGGGTTGGGAAGCAATGAAAATTTGCTTGGATGAAAAACAAACTGGCACAAATTGCCAGACTGGAGGTTTGGGCCCATCTGTAGTCCCAACCAGAGTAGATCCTTTGAATCAATGCAATTTAACTTTAATTTCTGTTGATTTACATTCTCATTGATTCAGTGGGTCTATTCTAGTTGGGATTAATATCTGATTTAAGTCCTTAAACTGCCATTGTGAGGTAGCACTAAAATAGGAGGCTCTTTAAAGCTGCTAAGACTATTTGGCTTCCCAAAATGACAGTAATAATGGGATGATGGAACAGAATGCTAAGCAGCACTGCCATGCTGACAGCCTGTTTGCAGATTTTCAGATACTTCCACTGATTCACAACAGTGGCTAAAAAAACTCAAGAGAAAGTTCTGCTCTCCCAGGGCCTCTCTATATGGTCTCTTGAGGACTCCACTGTTCTGAGTTGCTATTACTCTGTGACCTTTGTTTACGCACTCCATGGGAACAAAGAACTCCAGGGATTATTTCCTTCAGCATAACAAGCCATGAGACTTGGGTAGAAATCCTAGACCTCTTCACACAAGTACTGCTGTATAGCCACAAAAGGGGGGGGGGAATGAAATTTAAAATTCAGAAAAAGAAACTCCACTTCATCCACATTTTACAATCTGGTGTTCAATGCACAGCTTTTTAGCTCTGCTTTTATATGCATGTATGTGATGACAAATATGAGTAGAAGATGACAAAACATTGATTAGAGAAAGCATATTTTTGTCTGCAGATACAGCAACACAATCAATGATCTAAGCACCATGTGCCACTTTGTGCATTTCTGAACTTGGGTGAACTTTTTGCTTTCTTGGAATTAAAAAATGATGATGATGATGATGATGATGATGATGATGATGATGATGATGATGATGATGATGATGATGATGATGATGATGATGATGCATTTCTCCTGACAAAGGGACCCAAGGCATTTGATACCCTGCCTCCTTGACGGGAGCTGGACATGATGATTGAAAGGGTCCCTTCCAGATCTGCAGTTCTGTTTTGTACAAATAAGTTGTAGGATGTGAACATAGGGACAATGTTTTTTTCTTTTCCTGCCACTTTGCTGCTTCAAAAGAATGTGGAACATCTTCCATCAAGTTCTACTTAGACAAGGGTCAACTGCACACATCAGAAAAAGCATGGCACCACAGGTCGTGCTGAATTCCATCTCCCTCCCTCCAGGCCAGCTGGTCCACTTACTCGGCTCCACATGCTGCTGGGATTCTTATTTGGCAGTAACGCTCCAGTCCAGGCAGCCCTTCCCTGCTTCCTCAAGCAGCCAACCACTCTGGCAAGGAGGTCGGATGGGGAGTCTCCCTGCATAGCCGATGAGTGGTTGGCTGCCTGAGGAGGCAGGGAACGGCTGGCTGGGCTCCTGCCTGGTTTGGAGCACCACTGCCATAGAATGACCTCAGCAGTGTGAGAAGGCTGGTAGTGGACCAGCTGGCCTGGGGGGAGGGAAATGGAACTCAGCACCAGCTGCAGTACTGCCATGTGTGGTACAGTATGAGGGCACAAAGTGCCCGTCTCTAATCCATATTGTGCTTTTTTTCAAGTTATGATTACTAAGCAGCATTTCCCAAACAGATTTTCACATACCACAAAAGTCAAACTGGTCATGTGATAAGAAAAATCAGATCCAAGCTTTGTTGCATGCCAGTTATACTGCCATTAGGTAAAGGCAGTGTGAAGTTGAAACTGGTTTTGATTTGTGTAAATTAACAAACTCCTAATGCAATTACCTCCATGGGGGGAGTGGTGCAGACAATGATCACATTTTAGGCTGCATGTAGAGTCACACCACTGCTGCATCTTCTTGCTTGAAAGGCACCGCTGCAATATGCAACTACATTTATACACTAGACAAAGCTCTCATTTCTTTTTCTCAATAGAGCCATTGTACTGAAGTATTGGTCCACTGCTTTAGCAATACAATATAGCAAAAGGCCAATTTGGTTGAATTAACATGGGTCCAGTTTAATAAATGTGCCTAGCTGTCTAATAGATTTTGAGCAAATGAACCTTAAAACTCTTTGATTTAATTTAGAGTTCATTTTCCAAACCTCAGCGATTGAATCAAATCTAAAGAACTACCTGTTAAATGTTAATACTCTGCAATGGAATTGAAATTGGGTGTGTTGAACAGACATCCACCATGAAAAGGGGGCCATTTTTAATACAAAATTGGTTTCCTGGCTTGACAAGCAATATTGTAGTTCCCAAAGATGGATTCCATGTGGAAGCGGAATAGAAATTATCACCTCATCCCAATCATTACACAATTCATGGATACAGGGAAAGATTGGTGAGCGAATTTCAGAAGAAAAGCATAATAAATAAGCACAGGGTAAAAAAAGTGCTATCAATTGAGAGCAAATTCTTTAGTATGAGTATGCCTTAAATATACTCAAGGAAACCTTTAGATGGTAAGCAGATGTGGAAACTGATCCTGACTGGGATCTGAATTCCAAGTTGATTTTTAAGGAATGGTTGGCAATCTCTATGCAATTGTATAATCTTTTAAATATTGCTCAGAATTCCCAGACACAGGCTTTATTTGAGACGGAGAAGAAATGGGAAAATAACCTGCCTAAGGTGCTTGGTATCTGACTGATTGGTTTCATTTCACAGCCGTTACTCAGACCATGTATGCTTCAGGCAGCCACCCTGTCTTTTGCGCAGAAATCTAGAATGAGCTTAACTATCTGCCCAATCACCACTGGCTTAAAAGAAATGAAATAAACATACTTCAAAAGGTGGTCCAAGCAATTTCTCAACATTTCTGTTCTCAATGACTACTTCACAACCGACAATGAAATCATAGATATGATACATAGTTAAACTTGTATATCTGATGTGCGCCATTTTAAGTGTTTCATACATCTAAAAATCTGAAATGCTTCTTACACGGTGAATAATTTGCATCCCAAAAGAGTTGTGGGTTGACTCTGACTGCATGTGACTTTTGCAGCCATTCATCACTTTGGACAGCAGCATCTCTTATACTTTTACCACAGAAGGAATGAATACCATCACAGTGCAGGTCTCAGCTGGCAGCATTCTCATCCAGGACATGAAGAACATTGCTGTGCATGGTAAGAAGATGCAGGCTAATTCAAAAGAATTACATTTCTATGTGCATGGCTTCTTCCTTACATTATTTAGTAATATTGGATGCATTCAGATGTGGCATACAGTGGTGCCTCGCATAACGAGCGCACAGTTGAACGATGAATCCGCATTGCGATGCGGATTTCTCCATCGCTAATGCGAGGGCATGCTTGCATTACGATGGGGGAACAGCTGTTCAGCGGTTGCAAAATGGCCGCCGGACACCCAAAATGGCCACCAGAACACCCAAAATGGCCGCCGGAACATGGGAAAACATCGGAGAATGGTGAGTTTTGGGCCCATTTGGAACGCATTAAACTTCGGGTCACAAAGGGTTTCCCCGAGTCACAATGGGTTTCCCTGTCCCGCTTAACGATGTTTTCCCATAGCGAAGGTTAATCCGGAATGGACCTCGCTATGCAGGGCACCACTGTACATGGTTCTCCAAAACATGGACTGAAGGTCTGGGAATAAGAAATGAGCTCAAGTACATGCCCTTAAAAAAAAACTTTCATTTTTTAAATAGAAAACTTCAAACCATAGTTTATTAAAGTGACCAAAGTGGCAAATCGTGATTTGGGTAATCCTAGCAAACTAGAACAAGCCCTGATTTGCAGTCATTTGCACATTGTTTTAAGGGATTGTTTTCTAATCACAGTTTTCCAGTTCTGATAAATGTATAAACTACAGTGGGGTCTTGACTTAAGAACAGCTCGAGTTAAGAACATTTTGACTTAAGAACCACTCTCATAGGAAAATATTGACTTGACTTACATACTTAGATTTGAGTTAAGAACTGAAAAAAAACCATGTGGAAGGCAGGGAAAGTGCAAAATGTGAACTTTCAGTTAACTGTTGGCCAGTGAAAAGGGTGCCTGTCTGCTTCCTCACTCCTCCCAGCGTTTAGAGAGTGGATTGGGAGTCTTCAGACTGCCTGGTCCTGCCTGGACTGTATTTTCCCTGCCTTCCCTGAACCTTTCTTGACCTAAGAAAAAAAGAAACAAAATATCCCCCTCTAGTGGTCGAAGGCAGAATAGCAGCTTCCCATTAGTTTCTATGGACGGAAAAGAGCAGATACAGATCAAATGGTTTTCAATGCATTCCTATGGGAAATGCAGATTTGACCTGCGAACTTTTTGACTTGAGAACCGCCTTCCAATACGGATTAAGTTCTCAAGTCAAGACCCCACTGTACATTTTTTAATATTATGGCACCTGAGAGCAGGAAGATGGGAGTACACATGAAAATAGTCTTTATTATTATTATTATTTTAAAGGATGACTTTCAAAGACAAAGCGCTGTAGCATCAGAACAGAATCACACAACTGCTTTTCAAATTTACAAGTCAAATACCAGGAATTATTTTCTTTTGGCTTATGGAAATATGAATTGGTCACATTAAGAAGAAACAATAAAGCTCTGTGATTTAAAATGTGACTGTGCATATTAATTGCAGTTTTGAAGCACAATGGGAAAGGGTGAAATGGCTTTTGAATAGCGGACACAGAAACAGAGAACAGTTTTATATACACACAGAGAGACACACTGGCACACACAGACACACTCCATTGAAGCAGGTGGTAGTGATACAGTATTTGTTTTACTGATTTCAAAGATGACTTCAAAATTATTATTTTAGTAGCTCCCCTAGTAAAATTGGGGAAACAGTGCTACTGGAATTTTATATCCCATAATGCTGATACTGATGATATTCCAATTAGTTGTGTGATTATGGCAGGAGTTTTTACCAAATCTTGCACTTGGGGCTAAAGCGTTAATTGGAATTCAATTCTGCATACATGTATGCATATTTGGGCTATTATTGGTATGATATCAGTATGCATGTTATCTCTTCCTTAAGTGTTTGGCCATAAGCAACAAAGTTCCAGATTGAGCATTTAGACGTTTGGGTCTACACCACACATCATTAGTATGTGGAAGTGTTTTGTGTCCAGAAAAACTGGCCTAAATGTGATATTATAGTGTCTTGTAATGACCATTTTTCCACACATTTGTATGTATGATTTGAGTTGGCCTCTGGCTTAGTGTAAGGTATCTAACTAGTGTCTTTTCCAGTTTTAGCACAGTTAATGTTGGTTCAAAGGAGTGCCATCTGCTATAGTAGGGATGCGCAACATGCAGCCCATTTGCCATATATGGTCCCCTCCCCAAGCTCCAAATGTGGCCTCCCAGGACTCCTGGGTTTAATACCCCAGCTCTGCCACAAAATCTCACTGGGAGGTAGATCTGGTGAACCCACTTATTAAATATGCCACATATTTTGAAAACTCTATTAAGGTCACTATAAATCTGACTTGATAGCACACAACAACAGCAATAACTGGGTAGCAGCAGTATGTTTGGCACTTTTTGGCACCCAGAGCACTTGACTGGTAGAGATGCAGGGGATAAGTCACAGTGGATGCCCCATTGAAGGTTCTGGACACCAACACAAAGTTCTCTGGGTCTGATATTAACCCTACTCATCCTCCACTGGTACTGCCTTTGTTTAGTTCTTTTAACTTGTTGCATGAGGATGCAAGATGTGGCTAAGACTGTACAGAAAACCAACTTATTAACTCTTGGGAGACAGACTTTGATTTTAAAAAAATCATATATACAATTATTCCTCATGTATGTTAAGACAATTTAGACCAGTATTTCTCAGCTTGGGTGTTGTGACCCCCCAAAGGGGGTCACAGAGTGTTTTCTGGGGGGGGGATTGTCACTCCTCTTGTATGTGATGTAGTCCTTGTTAAATAATTTCTTTCTTGTCCTTACACAGCAGGATATTAAAATTCTCCCTTGGGGAACGGGAAGAAAGAAGCCTCTACTTTCTGAGAAAGGATGACTTTACCTCATTAAAAATGCCTTTTTATGCAAGTTGAGTTTGTGTGTGTGTGCGTGTGCGTGTGTGTGTGTGTGTGTGTGTGTGTGTGTGAGAGAGAGAGAGAGAGAGGTTACTTAAATATTATAAAAAAGGGTCACAACTCAAAATAGGTTGGGAACCACTGTTTTAGACTAAACAATAAAATAGCACATGAATCATTCCGAAGTCCCCTAGGGCAGAGCTTACTGGAGCCCATAAACACAGTTGTTTACTATAGGTGAACAATACAGTACATGTGTGTGCCAACTCTAAACACGATTTAAAGCTTCATGTCTTTCTTTCCTGCTCTGCAAACCCCTTCACAGAGTTGGAGAGTAGCAAAGTATATGGAAGTGTATAAGGGGTATGGTTGTGTCTTTATTGTGATGGCTCAAATCAATGTTCAAAGGTGTTTACCATCTTTCTCATAATCAGCATTCTACTAACAAGGGGTCTTAATATGACAAAAGGTCTTAAGTTAGCAACAGCAACAAAATTGAGCATGGTTATTGTGGGTTTTTCGGGCTCTTTGGCCATGTTCTGAAAGTTGTTCTTCCTAACGTTTTGCCAGTCTCTGTGGCCGGCATCTTCAGAGGACAGCACTTCAGAGGACACCACAGAGTGCTGTCCTCTGAAGATGCCGGCCACAGAGACTGGCAAAACTTTAGGAAGAAGAACAACCTTCAGAACACGGCCAAAGAGCCCGAAAAACCCACAACAACCATTAGATCCCGGTCATGAAAGCCTTCGCAAATACAAAGTTGAGCATCTTTGTGCTTTTATTTGATTATTGTTTTATGGTGGTTTTGTACAGTGCTTTGGGAATCTGTGCAAATGGTACAGAAAATGTAGAAAAATGAGTGAATGGATGGTGTCAATTTTCCTTGTGCACGCTAAGCTCACCTACTGGCTTTAAATCCAATGAGGTAATCTTATTGAAAGAAGAATTGAAAAAAAATCAGGAAAAGGCAGCATGGTTCTGGAAACAATACAAAGGCTGGAGCAGATGATACTTTTAATCAACCATTAAGAATATAAAACAAAACAAACAAAAATAAAAAATAGCAAGCTTTCGATGATAAAACACCTTCTTCAAGGCTATGCATCAAGTTCTTGTGGGCAGATCCAAACTTATCTGCTGTTTTTAATGTCTCAGATTCACACAGCTGTTGATGTAGAAGCCAGGTAAGCTTCTTAGATGGAAGTAGCTGCAGCATGCATGTTGGTTTCAAGCTCTTTGTCAACAAGCAATTTGAAATACATGGCCCATCTCTTAAAACAGAGGACAGTCACAGGCAATCTGAGGCCCAAGGATCCATTTAAGGTGTACGGCTGCACGTGCTACTACGCCTCCCTCCACGCAGCTTTCCTCCTCCTCCTCCTCCTCCTCCTCCTCCACACAGCCCTTTTGGTTCCCGTTGCAAGGGAACCTCGCATGCATGCAGGCGAATGGTGTCAAATGTTCTCGCAAGGGAGATCTGATGTGTGAGAGAGGTGGAGCCCCACCCAGGGAGGCTGAAAATTAAAAGGTATGGGGGGGGCTCTCCTTCTCCCTTTCTGCCTTTTTTTGGAACTCAAAGAATTTCTCTTTAGCTGGTGGAGGGAAGACTGCCCAATTAACATGCCCTGTCTCTAACAGAGTTGGGATTAGGAATGTAGTTAAACCACCAGGAACAGTCAATTTAAAACAGATCGAAGCCAAACAAATAGTTTTACCTGGTCAACACTCTCTTTAGCATGCAGTACTGCTCGTTTGATGCCAAGAGTCCGTAATGTCTGAAAATTCATGTTGGTCTTCAGTTGATGACCTGATCAGCCATACATGATTTGGACAATGGAGGATAACTTTTTCTCCTCGCAATGCAATTTTGTGGGTTCTTTGTTCTGGGATTGGGACCAAACTCACCCTCCAGAGCAGGAATCTGATCCCCTCTGAGGACCGAGTCGTGGAACATGGGCTGGTGACATTAAGCGCTCCAGTTCTCGAACCCAAAATGTACCTTTGAGAAATGGAAAAGGGACACTTTTTTAAAAAATGGAGATACAAGACTAACAGCTCTGGAGGGCTTTGCTGTAATTTATTAATGTTTACCAGGGAACTATCAATCTCTGTC